ATTTTGAAAACCAAGGGGATATCACAAGGCTGGGGTAAAGTTATGCAGAAGCACTGATCAGGGTTGGGTCATTAAAAACCATTCAAAACTATGACCACCTTACAGGGTACTATTAAATCCATTATTACAAAATGTAAAAAAAAAAAAAATGGCTCAGCCATGCGTGGTTTCTCCTACCAGGATAAATCAACCATAGTAGAACTATCACCCAGATATTCCAGAAAACTTGAACTTTGTGGAAGAGTAGTGAGAGGAAAATCACAGGTGTACAAAACCATATCAAAAATATTTTGGAATTTGAAAAAAAGGTACATGGAAGACAGCAAACGTATGGGGAAATGTTCTCTGGTTCTGAACAGACCAACTGTGAATTTTCTTGTTTTGGATCTATGATGCTCTCTGTGGTTATGTGACTTTAAGTCATTGCTTGTCTTATGAGGATCCTATGAATTGCATTGGGTTTTCTTAGGCAAAGTATACTCAGGGGGATTTTGCCAGTTCCCTCCTGTGAAATATTGCCTGCACCACTTTTTTTGTTGGTAATCCCCCATTCAAGTAACAACCAAGGCTGGCCCTACTTACCTTCCAAGATTAGACACAATCCTGTGCCTTTAGGGCATTTCAGTCTCACCTCCATCTCAAGTTTGGTTGGTGGGAATGAGAGAGGGGGCATTCTCGGTGGCTGCCCCTTGACTTTGGAACTCCCTGCCCAGGGAAGCCAGAATGGCCCCTTCTCTGCTGTCCTTCTGGCAGCAAGCTGAAACCTTTTTATTCAGACAGGCATTTAAAGATGAAAGTGTTTAAGTCAGGGGGCCTGTGGTTTTATGGTTTTAACCTGAATTATTTTTTAATGTTAATGTTGTTTAATACTGTTTTAATATTTGTATATTGTGTATTTTAAGTTTTATTGTTATACTTTTAATTGTGAGCCGCTTTGAGTCTCCATTTGAAGAGAAAGGCAGGATATAAATAAAGATAGTAATAATAATAATAATAATAATAATAATAATATTACTAGCCATCCCCTTCCACGAGTTGCTGTGGCCCAGTTTGTGTATAGGAGAAAATGATTTAAAAACACATGGCCAAAGTCATGCTTAAGTATTTTGAAATCAAGAACATGAACGGCTCAGGCATTCCAGTAAAAGTTGTGGAAATCTACTGGATGTTTGTATTTCACATCCAAGTTATAACACAACAAAATGTGGGAAAGTAAAAAAGAATTTACACTTCTGAAAGGCACTGCAAATATATTGAATATATGGAGGTAATGACAGATGGGGATTTGTGTGATGCACAGTGACTTCATGGCAAATGAAACAAAACTGAGGTTCAACTCTATGATTAAATCCTGCTGTTAATCTAACTGCATTTGAGGATTTCAACTTTTTCACGACACTTACTTCACTTTTTGGCTCAAAATATTATAAGTCTAGTGCCTTGGAATTATGCTTCATTGTTATTCTGTTGTAGTACAGAGATTATTTCAGAGCTACATTTGGAATGTGAAATTTGAAGTTTACTCTGAAAATTTAAATCTATGAGCAACCCACTTGCAAACCACGTGCTTGTAACTGAGAGAAAGCAAGAGGACAGAAACATCAAATGAATTTATAGTCCAACCCATTCATGCAATTCCTTTTTACAACCAGGATTCCAATTTGTTTTTGGTGATGGTGGAGGCAGAGAAGAAATGTAACTCTCCTTTGGGCCTTCCTTCCTTGTACTATCTCTTACTTCCTTGTACTATCTCTGAAATGGGGATGAGGACATTTAATCTTCCGAAGATCATGGTAACCTATTCCAGATATACCAGTCTTCTTTCTAGACACTGTTCTCTTATTGAGAAATTTAGACTGACCCTGCTTAACATACATGGTAGATTGAGATGACAGCCTTTAAAAAAATGTGTAGTATGCAGTCAGTAAACACAGACTTGGTTTATTGCAAAGCTCCTGTTCCAGATGTCCATGTCATTTGCTCTCTATGGTGTTGTTTGACATTAACACACAATGGATATAATGCCTTCTTACCATCTCTCAGCAGTCGAACAATGTGATCATAATTATATTCAGCTGTTTCCTTCACCTTCCACTCACTCTTCTTATAAGCAACGGGACTTCTGACAACTGCTCATTTTCCTCTTCTGTTCAAAACAGCTGCGTGCGCAACATACTACATTGGATGGAATGCATGACTGAATACTTACCACCTTGCATTCACCATTAATATTAAATTAGCAGTATTGCTTAAAATATTTTTAGAGCTTTAAAAAAGAACTGACTCAGTTGGAGGAAAAAGTAATAAGACAGTAAAAAGACCCTTACCATAGGAAAAGACAATTATGCCTCTACTGTAACTTTCTTTGGTGTATTAAGGTTTCTACATGAACCTCTGCTTAACTCCCACATTCTCACTTAAGGCATTTTGTTGTAATAAGACTCTACATTGCTTATACAATAGAATAAACCCCCAAAATCATTTTTTGGTAAAGTACAGCAGCTGGTGTAGCAGTTGTCTTACCATATTGAGAACTCTATAATAATTTGAAGCAGAAGGTACAATAATTAACACAATAAAAATGCAGGTGGCCTCCAAGGCTTACAATTTCATACTAGATTACAATTCCTCGTTTGTAGGATGGTTAATCTTGTCTGGATATGCAAATTAATTACTTACAAATTAACTGTAATGACTTAACAAAGATATGGTTATAAAACTTTATACGCTCAGTTTTCTGTGGCACTGAAGATTGCAAAGCTGGCATTAAAAATAGGGATAATGATCAGAATAAAAACAGCAAGTATCATTGTGCCATTATGCAAGTTTCTTATACATTTAAACCAAATGTGTGGTCACTGCTAGAGATAATACTTTGGAGTGACATTTATTTATTTTTTTGGTCTTATGTTGTATGATGAGCATTTCTATATGCCTCAGTTCTTTAAAAAAGGGCCAAGAGGAAATTTAACTAAAATGGATCAAGGGAGAATTGTTTTTCTCTATAAGAAAAGACTTGTGGCTATATTTTCCCCTGGAGATTTGTGAAACAATCAGAATTAGAATCAGAAGAGCACAAAACTAAAATATTAAACTACTTATCCACTGAAACAGGTACTATCACAATGTTTAGTGAATTGTGCTTGACAAAGATTTTATGCTTACACAAGTGTCTCCCAAAGAATTTTTGGTCCAAAATAGACATTTTAGGTGCAGAATATAAATTTGGACAAGTTTCCAAAATCATGTTTATTGTTATTCAAGAAAGTCCTTCTTCATGGGATGCAAGTTTAGACTATAGATACAATTACTAATGTTACAAAGATCTTTGCTATAAATTATTTTCACAATTGGATGGAGAACAGGTTCTCAAGTGCTCCTACCAAAGACAAGAGGTAGTCCAGTGTTGTTTATATGGAATACATAGAGGGGAACCACCATCCTGTTTCATTTGTTTATGAACTTTTTAGAGTGACTATTGTCATGAATAACTGAATGCTAAACTGAATGAACTGCTGCACCAAAACACTCTGATAATTCTTATGTTGTTATATATTTGGGGGAGGACAGGAAAGAATACAGTCAATGTGTGATAAGGGGTGTGCAGAAGTTGATTTAGCATATTTTGATTTCAGTGAGGCCTTTGACAAGGTTTCCCATGATCTTCTTGCAAACAAACTCGTAAAATGTGGGCTACACAATATAACTGCTAGGTAGATTTGCAATTGATAAAATGACCGAATCCAAAGGGTGCTCACCAATTGTTCCCCTTCATTCTGGAAAAAAGTGACTAGTGTTCAACATTTTTATTAATGACTTGAATGAAAGTTTAGAGGGTAGCATGCTTACCAAGTCTGCAGAAGACACCAAATTGAGAGGGATAGCTAATACTCTAGAAGGCAGGACCAGAATTCAAAAGGACTTTGAAGACAAAAAGATTGCTTAACATATTAGAGAACTGGGTCAAAACTAAGAAAATGAATTTAAACAAGGAGAAAAATAAGATACTACACTTAGACAGAAAAAATGAAATACAAAAATACAGAATGGGTGAGGTCTGGCTTTACAACAGAGTATGTGAAAAAGATCTTGGGAGTCTTCGTGGACAACAAGTTGAACATGAGCCAACGGTGTGATGCAGCAGCTAAAAAGCCTATGGGATTTTGGACTGCATCAAAGGGAGTATAGTGTTTAGATCAAGGGAAGTTTAGATCAAGGGGCCTCTACTCGGCTTTGGTTAGATCTCACTGGGAATACTGTGTTCAATTCTGGGCACCACAATTCAAGAGGGAAATTGACAAGCTATGATCAAAGGTCTGGAGACCATGCCCTATGAAGAGTGTCTCAAAGAGCTCAGCATGTTTAGCCTCCAGAAGAGAAGGCTGAGAGGAGAAATGAGACCCATGTTTAAATATTTAGCTGCCCTGGACACTAGTACTCGGAGCAATGGGTTCAACTTACAGGAAAGGAGATTCCACCTGAACATTAGCAAGAGCTTCCTGACCATATATAAGCTGTTCACCAGTTGAATTCCCTGCCTTAGTTCCTTCTTTGGAGACTTCTAAACAGAAGCTGAATGGTGTTTTGATTGTGCATTTCCTGCATGGCAGGAATTGGACTGTATGGCCCTGGGGGTCTCTCAGAACCCTATGATTTTAAAGGCATTCAACAAATATTTCCAATTTTGTACAAAGACAGCGAGCACATTTTTGTACAAATAAATATCACTCAAAGCAAACCTAGTATATGACTACATCTGATGGTTAAGAATTTTAGGGAAAAAAACTATATCCCAAACAGGAAATATTATATATATTTATCGTATCAGAAGCAAACCTAGGGTACAGTTGTTATGTAATTAAAAAACACAAAGTTTGAGAAAATTAATTTAAATCCAGAGGCAGAGTGGGAAGGAAAGGAAAGGAAAGAAAAGAAAGGGTAACACAAATACTGGGTTACTTATCTGCTATGGGTAAGTAAGTAGGAAGACGACACAGGAATTTCTTCTCAAACAGTTTAATAGCAAATAAACAAAGGGAGGTACCACACTTGGCATATACAAAATGACTTCTTATCTGTGTGTCTGTGCAATTAAAACAGCTTTAAGTTCCCCAGTGGGACAAAAAGAAACCACACACAAAAGGAAGAAAATTCCTTAATACATACTCGCTCGTTCCAAACTTGTAACATAACTTTCATTTTTAAATGCACTACACAAACTCCGTGATCAAAAAAGCAACATGTGCTTCCATTTTTAAACCATTAAAGTAAAATCCATAATTTTCTACAGAATACAACACAATTTCACACAAAAAGGACATTTCGTTTTGCAAATCAAACAAGAAAAAAGAACAGCTCAAACAAGGTAAAGAAAAGCATTGCTACAACAGAATCACGACTCTGAGTTGATTAAATCCTGTTACTGCAGAACAGACTCTACATTTGGTCATAGTGGCAATTTGTTTTCTTGTCACATCTGTGAATCACTTTACATTGTTTTCTAGTAGAAAAGGCAAAAAACTGTACAAAACCCCTAGTGTTAAATACAATGTTTGTACCAATAAAAAAGCCCACAGGTTTGTTTCCAAAATGTAAATTTTCTTTTTTTTAAATTATTCACAAAAAGCAGCCAGAAATAAAAGGCAGCTGCTGCTTTACTGTCTCAAATCCATTAAAACCACCACAGAATAATTAAAACAACCTAAGAAGGAAAGGAAAGAAGAAAAGTAACATCCAATGTTTGGCATTTTGGTTTTCTCCAGAGATTTTTATTCCACAGGATTCTCCAGAGTTCCTCATGAAACTGTATGAGCATTGTAAAGAAATGTATTGGCAAAATTAATCTATACAATGCAGGTTTTCAACTCCCCTGCTATCAGACATCTCTGTGCATTGTGACTGTGAGCCTAAGAGCCACCATCTCACAGCTGTACCCCAGATAACGCAGCCACATCCTTCTCAATAAAACATCTGCCCTCAAGATCATAAGATTGAGGGGAAAATCTATCTATGCGTATTTATCTAAGAAGCATGGAGAAGTGCTACTCTGCCCAACAAGGGGGTGGGGAATTTTTGACCCTAACAATGAGGCAAGGTAACACTCCATGTGGCTTGGATAGGCCTCCTACAAACCCCTATCTGCAAAAGCTTTGCTTCACACATCTTCTTCCTCTTAGTTTCTTCATGGCTTCCCCATCCCTTTGCTCCTTGTGAGAAAGCACCTACCACAGGACTTCCTTACAAGAATTATGAAACTCAGTATTAAGTCTCAGGTTCTATAATAGATTGTATGTGTAGCAAGGCTGAGGCACATTTCCCAGAGAAGGACAATCTGTTATATTTCTTCATCAGACCAAAAAGAAAAAGAAAGAAAAAAAAACTGCATGACTCCTTGCCCAATTTAAGAACAAAAACTTTAAAAAAATCTCCATAAAGGAGATCCCCCAGCTAAGGCCCCTGAGAAAAGGAGCCGGGGTTGGTACCCTGTTTAGGCAACAGCTAGTAGGCTGTTATATTGTGCTTATCGCTTGGAGAAAGAGTCAGCAGTTCTGAGCCTAGGCTTACAGATTCCTTCTATAGGAAATGCAGAACATACTACTTCAAGTGTTCGGGAGTGGAGAGCAATTCAGCTTGCGTCACTGAGTTCTAGTGGTGTTAAAACTCACAAAGCAATCCAGATATTATATAAGAGGTACAAATTAAGGCTACTCCAAAAGAGCTTGAGCTCCAATGGATCTCAGAAGCAGTATTACAGCAAACATCCCACAACTTTCTGTTGAACTTCTATCGACTATCCCTGCTGCCATCACCAGAACAGTGCAATCAAACCCCCTGAGATCTTTCCATAGCTGTGATGGTAGAACAAGGTGCAGATACTATGTAGAGCAGTCCAAATGCACAGGAGATGTCCTAACATGATACATGACCACAAGTCTGGCATTCAAAAAAAGTTAGCTTTGAAACTTATTAAATTGCTCAGTTTTTGCACAAACTATAGAAAACAGAGGTGAAGAGTGTGTGTGTGTATATACAAGATTGTGAAGAACACAGCAGGAAACATGCAAAACGTTTACAAGAGCATTACTTGAGTTTTTAAAGGAAAAAACAAACAAAATCTCACATTTTGCTGAGGAGATTGTAGTTACAAAAAACTAAGCATGCTAGGGTTTAACAAAATACAACATCAACTTTGATTAAACTTTCACTGCAGACAAAGGCTGATAATCACACAAGAAGGAAAAAAGTAGTAAGTGCCAGGGCAAAAATGCAGCTACAATCAGGAGAAAGTGTAGTTCAAGTGTTTTCTGCTGAGGCTACTCAAGTCAAAGAATACATGCTATCTCCCCAAGCACAAAATGTAGATTCAGCAAAATGTGACCGGACACCTCCTGAAAGTTTTTAGTTGCATCATTTGACTTTTTCCTTCAAAGATTTTTGTTTTAAAACTAAGCACACAGAAAAAACTAAGCCTAGAAAGTGATTGGCTGTATGTTACAGAAATACAAATACTCCACAAGGTATGCTAGCAAGGCTGCTCTGAAGACAATTACAAAGAATCAGAATCACAAAATCAAGTGGTTATCTTACGAAGTTCTAGAAAAATAGAATTCTTTTATATTCAAATGCAAGTTTAAATATTCCCCTTCAGCAGTCTTTCTAGCAAAACCAATTTGGCAGCACAAAAAAAGGAAAAAAAGAAAGAAGAAACAAACATAATAAAAATACACATCAGCATCAAAAGTCAACACAAGGTCAAAAGGTGAGAGTTCAAGCATCAGAGAAGCTGAAGAGACAAGGATTTGGACGATGTACTTGAACGCCACATCGACATGCTTTAGGCACAACGATGAACAAACGGCAGGAATCTAGAAAAAAAACAAACCAGAAAGAAGGAGACCCACTGAGTTACACAGAGCAGTACATCCAAACAGAGAGAGAGAAAGAACAAGAATGGGCACTGTACAATGAGACCTCTTGGGGAAGGGAGCTGACAAGGAGGGGTAGCACATGCCAACAGTGAACAAGTAAAGGTTGAAGTGCATAGGACACCAAATAAATGTCAAAACTGTCAGAAACCAAAGGGAAGGAGAGGCCTGGGATTCCTTTTAGATACTGGCTGCAGAATGGACTATGGCTTAGAGGCACACAGGTGGCTGTGCATATTATCACAGCTCTAAGCCAGTGTTCCTGCTACCTCTGCTTGAGGAAGGCGTCAAAGTAAACCCACTCTGCTGGAACCTGACTTCCTGAAATATGGTTCCAGAAATGGTTTAGACTGTAAGGGATGGGAAACAGAGAAGGAATCCCCAGGTGGCAGATAGTTGGGATTTTTTCCCCTTTCCTAGCACAGGATATTGCTTAGACAGTAGTGGCCTATGGAATCCACTTTTTCCAGCTAGTGTTTTGAATGCAATACTAGCGGTTAGCTTTAGAATAAAATAGTGACATATGGCACATTACATGGAACTGAATCCCTTATGAAATAGGAAGGAATTAAGACTTGACTGCAAGTTGATACTTGCTTCAGCTGAGCCCTTTTCACTTTGATAGTTGCAAATAAATTTGCTTTTGCAACTCTCTCAATTAAAAAATAATGTTTCCTGAACTTGTGAGGAGGAATTCTGGACTCTTAGAATCTCTACAGTCACTGTTGCCAGTCTGAATGGTAGAAGCTTTTTCTGAAGCATCTTGAAATTTTTAGAGTTGATAGAATCACTAATAGAGGGCACAGCACAAAAGACGTAATTTGCAAGGACAGATACATGTAAGCGTTCTGTTAATGAGATGATGTACATGAAAAACTGTTTAAAACAGAATATGATTACTTGGAAAAGTGTGCTTCTTTCATTTCCTAACTTCTATTTCAATTACAGTCAGAGGTATAATACAACACGATTTAAACATACCATTGCATTTCTGTCACATGAAATAAAGCAACCTTTTAATTTGTTTTTGTGGATTCCCAAAGCATGTGGATCTGTAGCTTACAAATATTACAGCTACAGCATCACAATTAATTTTAATGTTATCTAGGTTGAAAAAAATCAGGAATACTGGCTTTGGATCCAGAGTATGTGTTTCATGGATGGAAGAAGTCTTTACAATAGCAGAAAGCTTCCTATCCAGTGCAGAAGAAAAAATCCTCACTAACACCCCTTCCCAGTGCAGTCCTCTATACCTCAAGAAAACCTGATCCTGAGGGTTGAGAGGCCCTCTGGAATAGGAAGGAAGGTGCTACTGGAGGTTAATAGGTGAAAATTGCCTTAATTCAATGTTCATCTTTGCTCAAGGATTGCCCCTTCTGAGCACGCTGCATTTGGTAAGGAAATGAAAGTTTCATAGAAGCTAGGTATCCCAGGATAATTAACAAACAGTACCTTGGGTTTTTTATTCTTAACATGAAGTATAGCAAATAGAATCTAAGAAGTAGATCCTTCCATGAATACATTTACAAGAATTGGTTGTAAACATACACAGACAAATTAAGAAGTCAAAGGAAAAATCTGTAAAAACATGCGGCAACTTTAATCACTGGTTGCCCAATCTATTTTTTCTTATAAAAATAAGGCTCCTTTGGAAAGCAATACTTCAACATTTGTCTCATGCCAAGTCTGCTTGAAATATTCTTTAGTATGTCTTCCTTATCTCATTTCCATCTCATGTCTGCATATTACTGAACACACCCATTTTATTCTGAGAAGTGGATTTAATCTAAAATGCAGTCAGAATTACTCTCATAATTAAATATAATTTTAAGTTAATATAGAGATGACTATTTTATAGTGTACAATTAAAACAGTGTGCATTTGATCCATTGGTCCAAACATAATAAACTAATATGGTTTTTCTGAAACGGGGAACGTATAAGACAATATATTTGGCTTTCTGCCAAAGTATTTATTCAACTCTGAACGGGGAATGGGGTGGGGAAGAGAGATAAACTTTACAAAAATTTGACAGTATGACAGGTTGGACCAAAACATAACATGGGAAACACATGTGTGCATGTAAGATCGAAACTTCTTGTCAATAGTGAATCTATTCAAGAGTCTTAATTTTAAAATGTTTTGAAAAAAGCGTACATGATCCAATTAACAGGTCAAACAAAAGTGAGAAAAAGGCATATTTTGGTTCAAGTCTTCTAGATTCATTCATAACAACAGCACCAAAGGCACAAAATCTTTGCCAATATATTCTAAAGATTTAATTTTGGAAAATTAACCTGGTTATATCTGCTTTGGTAACAGTGCTGTGCGGGATGAGGGCACGTGAATGAATCGTACTACTTGGTAAATGTTATATAGGACAATCTATGCTGAAGTGTTTTCTTGTAAGTCAACTGGAGGCATTTTGCCTCATGGTGGCCATGATGACAGCATATCAACAGATTATGGAAATTATGGCCATTAAAAAGTGATAATAGATTATTCAGAGAAAACAACATATGTGGCCAAAGAAGAGACAAAGAAAGGGACTGAGAGAGAGCAGAGGACAGAAGAGGTACTGGGAGGAGTGACTACAGATATACTCGAGCACAGCTTTCCCCCTCCACTGGTTCACAGCATTAATTTTTCTCCTATTTAGCAGTTTGTCCAGCTGCAAACAGGCCACTGAAAGTCAGTAGTTTTAATCAAGCACATTGTTGCATGTATATGTAACACAATCACATTCAGGATTATGCAAAACCCTGGTCTTTTCCAGTGAAATAATTTAGATAATAAATATTCTCCACCCAGGAGCAGTATAAAACTTCTATAAAAATAGAAACACATTCTCAGTTATATTAGGTTGCATCTGGAGCAGCTGCTCCCAACCATGACCTTTTTTTTCCTGAAAAGTATATTATTTATAAAAAGAATCTCATGACAACCCTGGAAGCCTCAATACTCCAATACTTCATTTTTGCCACAGAATATCAGGACACAACTTTTCCTAGTGCACAAAATTCAAATGTATACAGTTCACCTAAATGTATGCATATGCTTCTGAACAGACCAAAGTATTCAACATAGAAAAGTACCATATGCCAGCGTAAATAGGAAATTTGGTAGTTTGACCATTCAACCTTTTTGCCATTACTATATGTGCTTTATAATACTGAGAGTTTTATATTCACTAACCCATCCACCAGGATTACAGATAGGTTAGTAACAATAATACTTCTAAACTTCATCATATAAGATAGTCTGAACCTGAGATGGATGGCCTTGCAGAATTTACACTTTGAGGTTTTAAACACAGGGGACCCAGTCCCTGATCATGGCCAAGTCTTGTTCTGAGGTTTACCATGCCAAGCACATTCTGAAATGACAATTCAGGATGAATGAGCCTTGTGAATCTTTCTGGCAAAGTGAACTTGATTTTTTTCCTGAAATCTGCTCCCTATTTTCCTTAAATACCCGATTTCCAACTACAGGGCATATGGATTCACTAGTGCATTGTGAGAAAGCATGACAATTAACAGGGATGAGAATAAACTGAGAAAGAAGTGTACTGAATCTTATAGAACTTATAAACTCTGTAGGCTTCTCTACTAGTAGGGCTGGCTTTTTTGTGGCTCAAGGGCTAAGTTCTATCCTGACTTCTTGCCATGGTTCAGGTCAGAATGTCAGAAGTTCCCTTTAGTCCAAATGTCACTGGTGTATACAAAAAGGCCTTTAACACTTTGGCAAATACACACATATGAAAATGTAGGTGTGTATTAGAAAGGGAAGAAACCTGACTTTATAAATGATTAGGCACCAGGCTACACACACTACAAAGGCAGGATCAAGGTTTGGTGACACTTCAGCCCTTTGCATGTAACCTTACATGTTTGATATTGGCATGCACACTCAAAGGAAAACTGTAATGTAGCAAGGTTTTTTTTAATATGAAAAAAATATGTGTATAAGAAAAAGAATCTTTGGGACAATATTTTTTCCGGTTATATGCTTGCTGAAAGTGTGCAAAAAGTAGAATGTTATTAATCAGAGCAACGTGACATTATTTAAAAATCACCTGTTTGTTTAGTATTAAGGAGGATTTAGGCTATACTTTATGGGCATTGATTCTGCTAACTGCTTTATGTACGAGATGTAGAATTGAGAAGGAAGAAGAATGAAAAATTGAATCATGACACACCAATTTTGAAAAAGATTGTCCATTTAAAACCAGGATTTCCTAGCTTACATCCTTATTTGTATGCATTAGTATTTTACTGACTTGATTTCAAGTCTAGTTTTCATCAAGCAAGCACCACCAAAAGATTACCAATGTCTATTTCTTTTTTTAAAAGTTGCTCTGGTTGGATTGCTAATGTTTGATTTAAAAACTCATTGGCTCACACTACCTGCCCCTTACAAATGCACTACAGCATTAAACTCACTACAGTTTTCCTTTTAACACATTAATTGCCGAACTGATTTTCTCCCACCCTAGTGATTGATTCAATATAAAGTCCTTGTATTAATTAAATAAAGCTGAGTAAACAAGAAAGGATCCTTGGGGTCTGCTCAATTACCAGCCACCAAGTTGTTTGAATTCAGTCCCTTCACTTCCTCCAAGAATATCATTTAGGATTTGGCAACAGATCTGCTCCTCTTCTCTTTGTCAAGTTTAAGTCATACAGTGTCAGCTTGAATTGCACCTGCTATGTGGCTGTCCTCCCCATGGTGGCTGGCATTGGTCCTTCTCAATACACACAGGTTACAAACACAGCAAACTTTTTTAAAAAAAGAATCAGCGATATGGCACCTAAACTCCAAAGTAAAACACTGGAAACAAAAGCACAAACTCGTCCTCCATCCGAAGAATTCCCAGTAGAGGCGACAGTTGAGTCTTCAGGGGAAGATGTGTCAGATAGAATGACATCAATTAGATTCCGTGACTGTAAAAATACAGCCTTCAAGAGTTTCAATCACTAAGCGCTCTCCTCCCCAACTTACCAGAAGATCCTTCTCACTCCAGTTCCAGAGGGGAGGGGCGCTCAGTATGGCTTGCTGTCATTCTTAGAGCGCTTGAGCTGTACTTTCAGTCGTTTCATGCCAATCTGAAATCCATTCATTGACTGGATGGCAGCCTGTGCAGAAACTGGATTGTCATAACTTACAAAACCTAACAAAAAGAGAAAGTGACATTAGAAGTGAGATAATTGGCATAAGTGATACAGTACATTCAGACTGAAGATATAATAATAGAATCATAGAATTGGAAGAGACCACATGGACCATCAAGTCCAACCACTTGACATGCAGGAAAAGCACAAAGTACTCCTGACATATGGCCATCCAGCCTCTGTTTAAAAGCCTCTAAGGAAGGAGCTTCCATCACACTCCAAGGCAGAGAGTTCCACTGTTAGTCTCTTACAGTCAGGAAGTTTTCCTAATGTTCAGGTGGAATCTCCTGTCTTGTAATTTGAACCCATTACTCTAAGCCCAAGTCTCCGGGGCCACATTTTGCCCTGGCTGCAAAATATGTGAACTCTTAAGGTGTCTATAGTTAAATGTATAAGATGGCTTAATTTTTTTTAGCCTGTAAAGCTTCTTTATATAAAGTTTCAGAGAAACCCGACTTATTCATAGTTCCTATCAAAATCCAGAACTTTGCTCCCAAAACCTGCCTTTGACTTATACAGCTGATAGGAGCAAATGCGACAGAAGCTGGAGAAGAAATCAGTTTTCCCTTCCAGAGGAGTGCTAACTTGGAAAGTCTGTGTTTCTGGGGTGGGAGAACACACTAGATGGCTTTTGAATTAAGGGAGTCAAAAAGTTCTGTGTAAGTGTAGATTATCATGAACAATATCCCATGTATCTCCAAAAGCCATTCCTGGAGATCAATGGCCCTCTGTAATAATGAGAGAGGACAAAGAGTGGTAGCATTACTGGGAAACAGAGAAATTTCTGTTTTTGAAATTGGAAGTGATCACAAAGTGTTATCTAGGCTTACCACCTGCCATGCAGGAATCCACAGCAAATGCACTCCCAAGCGATGGCTAACTGTAATTTGCAACTATACTGTATGTATTATTTGAATGTACAAGTCGTATAAACATCATATAAATAAATGTAGTTAAGACTAGTTAAATTAAGTGAAATTTGTTTTAAGACTATAATATTTCATATCCAGAATGATTTCATATCATCATCATTAATATTAATACATTATTAATAAATAATGAATTTATATTGAAGGAATACAAACAGCAACATACTATGATTGGCTGGACAGAGAGAACACATAAAGGGATTAAATAGCAAGATGTTGAAACTAAGGGATGTGGAAGGGAATGACTGCATCTAACAGGTTTGTGAAGGAAGCACGAATAACAGCTATGTTCTGCAAAGTTCTCACACGAGAAACAAGGAAAAAAGACAGGATCTTCTCTTTACCCAGTAAAATGCCTGCAATTATAGTGACCCACCAACCCTAACACAGTCCCTCTGCTACGTGTGCTGGTCCATCAAGGTTCCATAAACTTTTTCATTCTATTTCTAGCCTATGGCTGAAAAAAACCCAAGAGCTGGATTGAGAGTTTTATTAATAGGTAGTCAATTCTACAAATTATTTCATCAGATAGCAAAATAATTATGGAATTTGAGTAAGAAATTAATTGAAATGCTAATTGATATGAAGTTTATATTAATTTATCAACAGACTTACTATCAAAAGATGTACCACTTTACTAATTGATTTTGTACGTAATTACTTCTGACAGGATAAACTCTATTAAAATCAGTATCATCCATCCCCAGAAGTAAGATTACAGTAGAACACTGCAAATATGCTATTATGTAAAAATGTTATCACCATGAAGAAACAAGGATTTTATATTTATTTGCAATGGACACAGAAGAATTATAGCACGGGGCAGGTGCAAACACAGAGGTCCTAGCTTGTATTTCACTTGATGATTCTCCAGTTGTTCAAGGTGGGAAACAGAATCAAATACAAGGCAAAATTACTCTGAAGTTTTAATCTCTTAAAGAAAGCCATGGGAAGATGCATGGCTTATTGGGATGTTGTGTGGTTTCCCGGCTGTATGGCCATGCCTAGCAGCATTTTCTCCTGACTTTTGCCTGCATCTATGGCTGGCATCTTCAGAGATCCTCTGAAGATGTCAGTCACAGATACAGGCAAAACATCAGGAGAAAATGCTGCTAGAACAAGGCCATACAGCCTGGAAACCATACAACACCGCAGTGATTCCAGCCATGAAAGCCTTTTATATTACATGCATGGCTTAAACAAAGTTCACGGCAAGATAAGATGAGTGAAATACTCTTATAAGCTGTACACATAAAACATTGATTTCATCCCATTTATACTTTTTCTTTGAGAAAAAGAATTAAGAACACTTCCAAACATCTCATGGTATTAAATAGCAACTACACTTTCCTTGGCATTTTCAAGATACAATTCCCAACGTATTTTCTGAAATAAACCATCTGTTTTTCTTATACTTAATTTAATATTTTTCTTCAGTAAAAAATAACTTAGCCCAACATACCAAAACATTTGCTCAAATTGGTCTGCTTGTCAATGAAAACCTTGGCAGAGACGACATTCCCAAAAGGCATAAACATCTGCAGCAAGTCTTGGTCCCCAAATTCTTGGGGGAGGTGATAGATGAATAGATTGGCTCCCTCTGGACCTTTAAAACATCCATTTAGAAACAAATTCAAGAAAAACACACATCTCCAGATCTTAATGCAGAGCATAAAAGCAGAGACCAAAATGTATTCAAACTTACAAAATGGGACTTGGTTCCACAGTACACCAAGTATCATGAAACTCTACCATGTCCTGAGGAGGGAAATCTGACTGCTTCCTGCCAGAAAAATTAAATCTGAAAGACCTTTCAGACATATCCTTCTCAAACTTAGCAGTTAAACAGTTATTTAAACAGTGTGTAAGTCTGTGTATTGGTCTATCTTATTAGTTCTTTGTTTCGTCAAAATGTTGTCGTGTGTAGGTCTTTTTTTTGTATTTGTTAGAAAATAGATTAAAAAGCAGATTTAAAAATGTACTCACTTCATCATAGTTGTAGTATGGTTTTTCTTTTCTATCAATAAAAACTATTTAACAATAGGGGAAAAATCACAACTAAATATGGTGGTTCTTCAAACTAACACATGGCTACCAAGCTGAGATCCTAAAAACCCTAAAGGCACCAGATCTCATCAGATTGTGGAAGCTATGCAAGGTCAGCTCTGCTAAGCACTTGGATGGAAGACCACAATACATTCTAGGTGTTGTAGCCATATTTCAAAGGAAGGAACTGGTAAAACTAACTATTGTATTCCTTGCCTTAAAAACCCCTATGAAATTCACATGGTTGCCATAAGCCCAGCAGTGGACTTGAAGGCATGCAGACACACCAAGCTAACTTTGAAGGACTTCTCTGTATTCTCAATAAATTCAGTATCTGCTGTTCCTGGTATAATTGTTGGTAATGGAGTGGTCAGTGAGTTAGCAAATCTCCAGTTAAAAGGTGGCTTCTATAGGTGAAATTCTATATGAATTTCATAGAATAAAAATTATGCTGGCCAGATTCTACATCATCTACTTAGCTACATATATGCATCTGATTGGTGTTTCTGATTGTCACAGCCTTGCTTGCTTGTGGGAAAGAAGTGAAATGTTGTTTCGTGCCGTGATCACCAGCTGAAGAAACCTTCTTCACTAGCTTGGTAAAGAATTTTGTGAGGGCATTCATGACCATGACAACAGTGCTATGGTCATGATTATGTAGTGCTCGTGAGTAAGAATCAGTTATGGACCTGTAACTTCTGGTAATGCATCCATAGCTGCAATACTAAATGCCAGCCAATCCTCTGTTTTACGGTTGTTGACTAATGTAAATATACTACCTAGTGGGCTAGCAAAAAAAGTGGCACATGCAGAATTTACTGAATACACTTGATGTGAAATATTCTCAAATCCTGAAATATACAATATAAATCAAACATCTACTTTCCCATAAAACAGGAAGTAGGAATGACGACTCTAAAGACATAATGGACATAATGAAGACATAATGAAATACATCTTTTTCCTAGTGAAAAGCATAGATGTAAAGTACTTGGGTGTTTAGGAATGTTCAAAGCTCAATAGAAACCAGTATATACACATTAGCTGTTTGATGAATAAACCCAGAGAGGGAAACAGGGAAATCTTTAGTTCCTGTCCATGGTACCTGTAATCTAAATCAGTGGTAGATAATATTCTGTGCCACCACCATGCCGTAGCCTGCCTCCCATCAGTATTTTCATTTACCTTCCTTTTGACTTCCTGCTGCACCAATACTCTGCTGTGTTAATAAACTCTGGTTGTAAAGTGTGGGCAATGCAGCAGCCGCATACTGTTGGATTCCAGAATAGGCCTGAGTCAGGGCCTCCATTGTGCTTCCTGTGCCATTTGAAAGGCCACCACTGCCTAAACCACCATTCAAGGCTGCCATTCCTATACAAGAAAAGAAAAGAAAAAAGAGAAAAGTAATTTATTTATTACCCAAACATATTCCATTATTAATAGGAGCAACACTTTGTAGGAATCAAATCAAATGGTTCATTTTGGTTTCAGTCTTTCACAGTCTTTCTGCCATGCTGATCTTACCTGCTAAAGAGCCAACATTGAGGCCTGCAGTAGCCCCAGCCAGAGTCTGTAGTGCTCCAAGAGAAGCCATTGGGTTAACTGAAGAACTGCTACTGGAACTTGGTGATGAACCTGCTATTAAAATGAGATAGTTAGCTGGTTCCAATGTACTGCTTACTAATTTCTCAAAAATGCCAAAAGATGTTGAACTAATGGTTTGCATAAGGAATACTTAGGATGCCATAAATCTACTAAACAATGAATTAATAAATTATCTAATTGTGTACAGTAGTGTTATTATACTAATAGAAGCACTGTGGTCTAATCTGTTGTGATCCCATTTGCCCCCAGAACATTCAGAAGGATTGGCTGCTTATCTATAAAGGTAGTTCTTCAAGTGGTCATCTGTGAACTTATACAAATGGGCAAAATGCGTCTTACTATAGATTGTTACTGTTGTCTGTAGTATCAATATAGTTGGTAGATGTAGTTTGTTTTCCTTTGTAGTCTCTCCTTATTGTTGTTTTATATTATAAAAATGTTTTTCTTCTTTTTAATAAAGATACATTGTAAAAAACAAACAAACCCCAAAATAGGTGACTTGCATCCTCACAGTGCATAATCCAGAATTTTCTAGAACTCTTACATCAATGTTCCAGCAGCAGTTCCTCCCACGCCCCACATATCATATCTGCACACTTCCTGCCTAAACTCTTGGTTCCTAGATGCCAAAGCAGCAGCCATAGCTCTAAGGATAGTCAGGATACAAGGAGAGGAGGATGGGCGGGGTTGAATGAGTTCACAGATGACCACTCAAAGAACTGCAGTTACAGGTGAGCAACATGCCCTACTCCTTTGTGGTCTCTGTAACTAACAGAAATGGGAGACCAGTAAGCTACTAACCATAGGAGGAGGGAACTGTCATGTCTCCCAAGTATTCTTATGCAGCCCTCCCAAACACCACATCTGTTTGAGATCTGGCAGCAATTTTGGAGATGTGGTGAAATGAGTTCCCTCTCAAAAGGCAGCCAATGCACTCAAGTTCATAGGCCAAATGGATGCTCGCTGCAACCCATTTAGAGATTTGTTGTGCTGAGACAGGAAGCCCCTTTTTCGTAGATGAATAACAAATGAAGAATCTCTGTTTTTCTAAAGGAAAATTAATGGTGTATTTCCAGTGAGTGGTGTGACTCTAACCCACTAGAGAGGTTGATTATCTATAATCTTATATCTCACATAATGGGATGCTATTAATGCCTCCACTAATGAAGCTGTTTCCTGAATATGATCTCTTGACCAGTGTTGACAAGAAAAAGGATCCAAACAGTAAGAGTAAGAACAATTACAAACATGAAAATTATGATACGGAGATGAAGATCTGACAAGACAATAATACAACAAAGCTTCCCTGGTACAGTGGAGTCAGATGACGGGATAGAGCAGTGGTTTTCAACCTGTGGGTCCCCAGGTGTTCTGGCCTACAACTCCCAGAAATCCCAGTCAATTTACCAGCTGTTAGGATTTCTGAGGAGCCCCCGGTGGCGCAGTGGGTTAAAGCACTGAGCTGCAGAGCTTGTTGATCGAAAGGTCGCAGGTTCGATTCCGGGGAGCGGCGTGAGCTTCCACTGTCAGCCCTAGCTTCTGCCAACCTAGCAGTTCGAAAACATGTAAATGTGAGTAGATCAATAGGTACCGCTCCGGCGGGAAGGTAACGGCGCTCCATGCAGTCATGCCGGCCACATGACCTTGGAGGTGTCTACGGACAACGCTGGCTCTTCGGCTTTGAAATGGAGATGAGCACCACACCCCAGAGTCAGACATGACTGGACTTAATGTCAGGGGACTACCTTTACCTTTACCTTTTAGGATTTCTGGGAGTTGAGGGCCAAAACACCTGGGGACCTACAGGTTGAGAACCTCTGGAATAGAGGGAAGCAGGTGATTCTGAAGAGCTGAATCCATAACTGAACTCAGATACATTGCCTGAGTAAAGGACAGTCTTTCGTCTTGCCTCTCTATTTCTGTGGGTCTGTGGTAAAAAGGCTTGGCAATGCTTACACAACTATACAATGGATCATTCACCAAGTCACAAAGATTACCTAGAATGGCCATCTCAATCAGGAGTTTTACTAGCAAAACCAATGCACTTTTTATAGGTGCTCACAGAACCCATAATAACACTAACATGATACTAACATAAAATCCCAGAAAAAACGCATATAAAAGTAACATTAAAACCTAACATCAGATTAAAACCTAGCATCAGTAAATTAAACCTGACATCAATAAATTACACTACACGTAATCACATAAATCTAAACAAAACATCCACATTAGTGTACAACAGCCAGCAAGGGTTCACAAAACGGTGTGGGTTGGTTGTGTAGTCAAATGAGGTCACTGAGCTGGTGTGGACCAGGAAAGCCCAAATACAAATAGTTCTCAACCAGAGGCCTGGTGGTGATCTCTTGACCATCTAATCCTCCTCCTCTCCATATGCTAGTGAGCAAAAGTAGGTCTTCAGTTGTTTTTTAAAGGAGAGGAGTGGGCCACCTTTATTTCTTTAGGGAAAGAGTTCCAGAGATGATGGTGGTGGGGCGACCACAGAGAAGGCCCTCTCTCTTGTTCCCACCAGCCGTGTCTGGGATGGGGCCTCCTCTGATGACCCCAGTGCCCAGGCTGGTTTGTAAGAGGTGATGTGATCAGTCAAATCGCCTGGACCTGAGCAGTTTAGGGCTTTAAACATAATGACCAGCACTTTGTATTTAGCCTGCAAGTAAACTGGAAGAGGTGTGGGTAGCTCATTTGTATGAGTCACAGAGACCCCAAAGAAGTATTAATAATGTTTCACTATCATACAGAATTCTGAATGCATTAGAGCTGGTTCATCTTTGAGGTGCCCACCTTATTGTATTTTTCATTAGTGCTTTGCACTTGAGCATAAAGACACAGGTCTAGAAACATTGCTTTAATTTACAATACAGCTACTATTCAAAAAAGGAATCCATGGTGCAGAAATAAATATTCTCATGACTCCTGCTAAGTTCCAGTAAACTCCTGCCAATTTCTAGGAAACTGTCTGTGAGGATACAAAAATTTGTTTCATTGGTGCAATAAATAGGGGTATAAGGAGCAAGATTAATTCCTATCCCAATGACAGCCTCAAAGAAATTGTTCGGGTTTTTTTTCTACAGAAGTAAAATAACTGCCATTCACTTACATAAAAAGAAGTGCTGTATTTGAACACTTCTAACACAGTAAAGGCAAAACTTTCTCCAATGACGACTCTGGTTTCAAAATAAAAAGTCTATTCATGTGCACACATGCATAAGCATAGTGACTTGCAAACCAAATATCAAAGTGGGTAACTGTCATGAGTAGGGAAAGGCACAGGATCTTGGAGGGAGCTAACATGCTCAAGGAGCAATTCTGCCATGCTTTTGCCTCCCCTTTACTTCAGGTTCCCATTCTGGAGTGGAGTGGGAAGGGAAAAACAGTAGTTTATAGCTTAAGCATGGATAATTGATTCTACAGCCATGTAGAACGTGGCTCTAGGACATCCAACCTTGTATTTTATCAGGAAATCGCTCTTACCTGAGCTGGTGAGCACACTTAGAGGACTGTTGGAAGAATTGAGTGCAGTAGTACCACTTGGTGTGTTCTGAGCTGCACTGGCTGCAGCTGCTAATGCAGCTAGACTCTGCAACTGCATTGCGTTCAACCCTGAAATACATCAATTAACACACATTATGCCTGCATCTGTACTGCTAACTTCTAGATCTCTGATGGATCCAAAAGAACTACCATTCAGTAGCTTCTTTAGGGACAAAACCATTATGAACCCCGATGTAAAAAACAAAACAAAAACCTCTTTCTAACATTACAGCTCCTATTTATGGAATCATGACTATTCTAAGCAACAATGTGCCATCAAGCTTCAGCAGAAGGAGACAAAGAAGCAAGATCTATCTACTAGTGATAACTTGCTTTGGCTATCTCTCAAACTACCACATGATTCAAATGTTTGCGTGATTAGTATCAACTGTCTATTTAACCAAATTTGACAAAAATAGGTTCCCTATAATCATTTTCTAGCTCCCCCAGCGTGACTCTATGGTCTTCTTGGGCCAGAAGTCTTTCTTTTCAATAGGGTTTACTCCTGGCAGCCTTTTTGCAAATCCACTTGAAGTCCACAAACATACACATCATGGATTTGGGGTCATACTGTAGTTCTATCCCAAACTCAGTAACATTAAATACGAATACCCAGGTCTGCTTGATTTCCTTTTCTGTTTTGTCTTCAATACTGAGAGTTTGTAACAGGCCCTGTCCTATTTGATACTGACCTTATGTAATCTGTTCTAGGAGATTACCATCTGGAGTGGGGGCAAAAATGATTCAAACAAGAACTGTTAAAATAGAACCAAATATTCTGTTTGCAGCTCCATGGTGATTAGCTCCAAGCATGGTTTGATTCAACCCACATGCTGCAGAAGAACTCACCAACCCACCTACCCTTCTTTCATTCCTCATAAAACTAGAACCAGCTACAACTGACAGTGATTATACATTTTTTCAGCCTCTACATATTAGAGAAGTATTGGGCAGAACAGGGCCATCCAAATCCTGTTGGGCTACAACCCACTCCAGTCCTATTCAGTAAAGGCAATTGTGAGAGACAATGGGAGTTGTACTAACTGTGGGAAAAGGAGCAAGTGAAAATTCAGATGCTCTTGACAGTCACTCAATAATGACAAAGCAGCTGTCTTTTTTCCCCTTTATCATGTTGACATCTTACATCAAACTCTCTAAATATCAAGGGGGCATTATCTTACATTGTTTTACACTATAATCATTCTTTTCAATACTTACATAAGGTGGCTTCCACACCATTACCCTTACCATTCTCTTTCCCTACCAGCAAGAATCTTAGGAGTACACAGTTTTTGTTTACATATTAGTTTCAACTCAAAGGTCAGTCTAGAAATACTTTGATAAATTAAATACTAGTAATAAAATAGTACTGGAACTCCTATACATTGTAGAAACCGGATTCAATAGAGAAAAATTTTCTTCTATAAAAATTGCCAAGCAAATTAAGGAATGGATTTTAGTTAAGATTTTAATTCTATTGAATGTTTAAATTATGTTGGGCTCTTTATTTATTTATTATGTTGTTGCACGCTTTACAATTTTTCATGAGATGTTGTGTTTTGATGACTATGTTTATTTTTATGGCTGTAATGTTTTTGTTTACATGTTTTTCACTACTTTGAGTCCCAATCTGGGAGAAAAGCGGGATAGAAATAAATAAATAAATAGTCTTTCTCAATTTCCAATATGAATCCTAGAAACACATGGACTCTAACATAAAGACACCATGACATTTGGAATTGATAATGAAGGAAGTCTTTTGTTGTGGAAAACATACAATAGGAGTTTCCAGGAGTTCTTATTGGTACTGTATAAGGCATCAAGAAACAAAGAGTGTCATCCAATTATAATCTCTTCTGTCAATGAACAACTTTTCTCACCAGAAAGGGGAGACTGCCATTTCCACTGGAATCTCCTGAAAATAGGTTCTGGAAAGGGATCATGGAGGTGCTAATAGGTGAGAAACATAGAAGCCTGTTTTGTTTTGCAAGAAGGAGGTCATGCATGTGATATGCCTGAAGTGTGTTTATTTCATAAAATCATACCGGTCTCACTGCTAAACCGTATCTTGAAAGACATCTGAAAATATGCATTGTTTACACTTTGCTAGAAAATTAGAGGATTTTTCTGAAGTATATGAATTAGAGTAAAAGGAAAATATCAGATTAGAATTATCATTCTGAACATCATATATCAAGCTTATTTGCTATTATTATTTGTGTTTGTGGATGGATACAATACTTGTGTTCTCTATGTTTTTCTGTCATTGGATCTAGATGGAGTAACTGAGTTTCTGTTCATTATTTCAGCAACATGATATCTGCTAGTCACTAGACACAATTGAAGAACACATTATGAAAAGCAAGTACTTTGCAAGGAAAGTGAGGACCTGCTTCAAAAATAGTTACAACTGTTATTTTTCTACTTCTATGTATTTAAAATATTTTCTGGAGACAGAAAATAAAAAGACAAGATAGAGTTTGGAATGCAAAAACCACTAGACTCTGTTATTGACAACTGCAATAAATCTTTGCTAACATTAGTATATCACACCACACAATCTTAAGAGCCATTTGCATTAATTACTATAATTATTTTTACTTGTTGTCAAACCTTTACAAGTACAAAGCCATTTACCTCCCATTGGGTGAAGGCTGCCCAGTGTGTTCAGATTCCCAGAGGATGCTGCTGCTGTTTGCTGAAGGAGCTGTAAATAAAGCTAGACATTACACCAAAAACAGAACAAGAGTGAAAATGAGGGCTGGCTCCACTTCTGGGAGACACTGCACTACACCACAGCCAGAGCGCCGTCTCAAGCAGAGTTCCTGTTGCTGATGCATCACTCAAGATCAAGCTACACACAGAGAAATAGCATTCCCCAATACTGGGTAAGAATGTCATTTAAAAAGGTAAGTTTTGATTACTCATGCCACTCCAGGTGAAATGGTCTCCCTGAAATTATAGCTCATGCACTGTTAATTATGTAATTGCAGACAAAATGATCCACACCACAGCAACAACACACACAGGTACTACATTATATGGAAAAAACATGTTTTCCTTATTTATGCCATCAGCAAAACCTCTCTAAGGCCAGCCCTTATCACACATTGACTGTGTCCTCCACACCAATATGAAGGCTATGAAGCGATAACAATGGAATGACTATTCACCCATATTCAGCAACTTGTCTGGAAAATACTAAAATCTCAGTATAAGAATACTTATATGGAACGTTTCAACTGTAGTTAAGGAGTGATACTACATAGCAACTATCAAAGAAACTCACTGCTAAATACTGGGGTCCAAGTGTATTAAGTCCAGCCAGGTTTCCCCAAACAGAGGCAGCACTGATTTGTTGCATCTGCTGCTGGAGCTGCTGTGCAATTCGTTTCTGCTCTTTATCCTTTTGGGTATCTGCAAACTTCACTACGATGGGAGAAGAGCACCCCTGAAAAACAAGTCACAAGTCAGCCTGAATAGACAGAATTGAGATATACATGTTAACAAACTGTCAATAATGGTTACAGTTGGTCATTTTTCTTTAGTCCCACTTAGTTTTCTTTCCTCTCTCCACATTCCTAAAATGTCATGCACCTCACCCCCCCCCCCCCCCCCCCCCCCCGGGTTTCCTAACCGCTTTTCAATCCCAGGCTAAAAACATTTCTGCACTCTTGCTTTATATACATGTATGATTCCTCTTAAGAAAATCGCTGGGATTCCACAAATCCAATGGATTTGTTTTTGCTGTTATTTTTTTGTATTTTATCTTACCATTTTCCTCTCAAAAGTAGAAAGTGATGTGTACATACACCAAGTTTGTGACTTAAACCTCATACTTTAAACACTAAGTAACTACTTTGACATTTGCTTCCAAATACTGTGGCCTAAATTCAATTGCTAGTCTTAACAGCATGAAGTTTCCAGAGATTTAGTGGGTTGACTCTAGTGTGATTAACAATTGGATTTTTATACACCGCTCTTTTTAATTGTACATATTGGACACCACACTTCTTGTGATCAAACAAAAACATGGCTTACCTCCATGGTCTGTGCTTGATGCATTGCTTTGATTGCAGTTTGTGCCATAGCTCTTGTTGTAAAAGTCACAAAAGCACAACCTGAAAAGAAAAAAAGAGGATTGAACTCAACCATCATGTTTATATCAGCCTAGAAATGGAAAGCAAGAACATTAATTTTGCTGATTTTTAGACTGTCCAAATGAAATGCTAGGTAACAAGAGAGATCCTTAAAAGTGAAACTACAGAGTTCTATCTGCTTACCTCGACTTAGGCCATCTGGACCCCGCAGAATTCTGCATTCTTCTATCTGCCCAAAGGAGGAAAACATCACTCTGATATCGTTTTCATTGCACTTCTTTGAGATCATTCCAATGAATAACTTTCTATCTTCCACTGCTAAAGAAAGGAAAAACAAAAAGGGAAATCACTCTACGATGGCTGAATGAATACATACTGAGACTTTGCTGCTTACTCCCTGACTGAACCTTTCCTGACTAAAATAATGAAAGCTTTTACTGTTTACTTAAACTGTGATTTGTGATAAAATCTTCTAAGAATGACTTTAGATTGTGCACCATATCCATGATAAATGTTAACAGACGTGCACTAAACAGTATTTACTTTAAAAAGTATGTCTATGGATGTATATACACAGTAGTCGAAATGACTGGCTGGTGGTCTGTTTCTCAGTACAATTCAAATGTTGGTTTTGGCCTTCAAGCCCTATATGGCTTGGGTTCAGACTGTATTTACATATATAAGTCAGCTAACACTTTTAAGATCTGCAGGGAACTGCTCTCAGATTGTGGAACTTCCTTCCACAGAAAGTCCAGTTAGCCGACTTCCTGCAATTTTTTCACCAGTAGATGAAGAGCATTGTATTCATGCACACTTTTGTTACATAGCTGAAGTCTAATTGTTGTGCTGCATGTCATTTAATTCTTTAAAATAGTAATTATGATTTAAATGTTTTTTTAACTGTGTAATCATGTTTTCAGAAAGAACAGGTTGCTTACCTGTAACTGTGTTTCTTCAAGAGGTTATCTGTGATGTATTCACAGAGAACTTGAAGAAGAATATTATTTACTTCTTAACTTTTGTAAAATAAGAATTTAAATTAATCTTGTTTTAAATCCTTGCAACCCATTTTGGCTCCCACCCCAGGAAAAAGGCACAGTATAAATGTAGTAAACACACTAACTAACCACCCACATACAGGCAGTCCCCAAGTTATGAACAATATAGGTTCCATAAGTTTGTTCTTAAGTTGAATTTGTATGCAAGTCAGAACAGGAACATTGTAATACTATAATAATACATAATACTTTATTTATAGGCTGCCCTATCTCCCCAGGGGGACTCAGGGCAGCTTCTAAGCAAAACAGGCAAACATTCAATGCCTTGACAATACAATACATAAATCAAAAACAGTAATAACAACAACAACACTTTAATATACTCCGCCTTTCTCACCCCGAAGGGGACTCAGGATGGATCACAGTACATATACACAGCAAACACTCAATGCCTCTTTATATAGACAATACACAGACAGAACAGAAGGAGGTGGTTTTTTGTTTCAACTCAGTGTCCAGCTGTTTTTGGTGTCATGGAAGGTTGGGCACCAAAAACAAAATAACATCATTGTAAACATAATTATGTAAATGAAACATATAAGCTCCATAAAAACAAACACTCCAAAAATGAACAAAAATAGCTAAAATAATGTTAAGATGACTTATAGCAGCATGTAGGGTTGAGGGTAGAATTGCCGAAATTCCAGCAATGACATTACGATGTTCTAATCCTCCTTCTCCTCTCCATAGGCTAAAGTGATAAGTGCGTTTTCAGTAGTTTATTTAAAGGAGAGGAGGGAGGGGCAATTTTGATTTCCTTGGGGGAGGAAGTTCCAGAGGTGGTGGTGGGGGGGATCACGGAGAAGGCCCTCTCCCTCGTTCCCACCAGCCGTGCTTGAAACAGGGGTAGCTTCAGTGTAACTTCAGTGTATCTTCAGATACACATGCACACTTTGGGGCCGGCAAAAATCTGACCCCACCTCCTATTGGTGCCAGCTGGATAACCAACCAATGGGGCAACAGTTTATAGTGATAGGAGGTGTGCTGCGTCAGCTGCAGTAAAAACACTCACATCAAAGGAATGCCTAAAACAAATCCACATGGAAACGGACCCTACAAATTCGTGGGACAAATGGTAGGAGGTAGAAGATATATGTCATTTGGATAGCACCAGGAAGAGTTAACACCCCTGTAGTATTTGTTTTGTTGTCTGCGCCCCATTCAGACGATTTCACCTCACTTTCTGTCCTCGTGAGAATTGGATTTTGAAAAAATTGGCTTGTTGTGGAAACAAGGATTGGTGATAAAGCCTCAGTGGAGACTCCTTTCCCCCATGATAATGTTTTCAGAAGTGAATTTCCATTCTTAGGGGTAGATAGCTCTCACTTCCTATTGTCTCATCCCCGTTCTTGTTTGTAAGTCAGATGTTTGTGAATCGAGGACTGTCTGTACTTCGTGTTACTTATTAAAAATCTACAGAAAGTCAAAAACTGTGATTCACAAAAATACATACTTTTATCTTAATGTTTTTCAATATCATAAATATTAGACTAATCTCTGCTTTAATATAGATGGGATGTACAACAACAGAAGAGAACTTATAATATGAGATTTACAGATCTTTAAATACTATTATTTTAAAGAATATCTTCACACACCAGGCATTATCTTTTATAGTTCTGGATTTATCCCAAAATTTTCATCTTAGGTTCACCTTCAGCATCTCTAGGCATACTGGAATTACTTTTCCCCAAGCTCAGCACTTTGTCAAGTAAACCTAATACCTGGGAAATAGGTTTTGTACTTCCAATGAATGCTGGAATTATATAGCTGAAGGTGTCCCTGTAATTATCTCTTTGTTATCCGAGTTCTCAACAGGCCCTCCACCAAAGCATGGGGACCAGTTCCGTGAAGTAAGCTTCTCCTAAGACTAAGGCACAGATAACAGGCAGTTTGCAAAGGGAAACCTGGACAGTTGGCTCATATGGTAGGCTACAATTTCCTAAGTTGAAATGGGTGACTTCCCACACAACAGATCTCATTAAAACAAAACATACTTTGTAACACTTACCATTATTCTTTTCACTGTCAGCTGGCTTCATTTGAATGGGATGGTGCATCTACGGGAGAGGAAAAGAAAAAGTCATTTTTTTAAGAACAGAATAGCTTCAGCTTAAATTGACTTTAAGCTACTGTAGCAGACAACTTATAACCTAATTATTATACTGATATATAAGAAGAAAAAAGAAAACCAAAGGGTTCCACATATTCAGTGCCAGGAAATGTGGCACTTTGCGATTTATGTGGAGAGATTGAAAGACAAATGAGAGAAATAAGTGTCATTATCTTACCCCTGGGAGGATCTTCATGTTATGAAGAGCATTCTGTGCTTCTAGTGCAGCTTTACGGGTATAAAATGTAACAAAACAGCACCCTGTAAAGCAAGTAAGTTCTGTGATGCAGCGCATATGACATTCCACTTGAAAGTGTATTAAACTAAAAGGTGTCACTATCAATTTCTTTCACAACATGTTAGTACCTTAACTATGTAACCCTCCAGTCCTACTTAAATGCAATTTAGACATGGGATAAAAGTATCAAAGCCTTGTCAAATAAGCTTTCAGACTGTAGACCACTTTAAATTTATGCCAACTAATTTTTTTAAAGTGGCACAAGATTCTGCTGGTTTTCATACAATAAACTACAGCAATATAGTTCTCCTCTTTGCAGCAATTCAAGGGATGCTGCTATTAGCCATATACATAAAAGACCCAAAGGGGGCAATTTACAGAACCTGATCGATAGAATCCATTAAGACAAAGCTTCCTTTCTGAAATATGTGCTTCCATTAGATCATGTCCACACATGCAGTAGAATGAACTATACAGAGAGGGTAAAATTCACATTTTAATGCTTTTTACTCATAAAAAAGGAAAAGAAAAACCAAATGATCTGCAATTCTGCAAATTCCACGATGTTCTTGTGGACAATGTTCTTGTCAGAACTTGCAAAGTATTTCTCTCTTCTACAGAAAAGCACTAAACATTGCTTCCCCATTCCTGTAGTTTGAATTGATATTTCTAACTCTGCAACTTCTGGAATTTCATTCATGTATAGACTAATCATATTTTAGGATAAATAATCTAATACATTAAAAATATGATCTAGTCTATACATATCTAGAGCTGAGAAATGAAACATTCAAACAGTCCTGCACTAAAATCTCTTGCTAGTGTAGAACAGTTCATATGTTTCATTTTTCAGTTCAAGAGATCTTCCAATTATAACACCTGAGGTGACCAACTAGGAATCATAAACAATGCAGATGAGGATCAGAAGTTAATTTATTTTCTGCTAACCTCCATCAACCCTTTGGGCGATTTCATTTACATTTCAGGGTAAAAGGTATACTAATCCAATAGAAGACAGCTTGCAAATTATATAAGACAAAACGATCTACTATAATATAAATGTAGTCAAGATTTAAGTTCACTTTAGACAATACAGTTTTAAAGTGATAAATAAAAGAATAAGATTAATGACCTTCCTTATAAATCTAAGTCAGGTATGAAGACTGGATGAGGTTTTTTGTAACCTTCACATTCAATTGTTTTTACTTGCAAAGTATGGTCCTATTAATCAGCTAGACTTCATTTCTACAACATGGACTTGCCAACTGGGTTTTCTTAGATTCACCTTAAGCATCTCTAGGCATATTGACATTTCTTGCTAACATTCCAGGTAAAACAATATGGAAGAGAAATGCATGCTTCATCACATCAAACAAAGCAACTGAGCTACATGAAGGCAAGAGTTCCCACAATATAGTGCAAATATGAAACAGAATATTGGAAATTAAACTTTCTATCATAGTGGTTGGGGAGATATTCCTCACCTTTGCTCTGAGGAGGGTTTTGGCTCCTGTCCCGCAGGACATTAATTTCATAGACAGCACCATACTGTTCAAATAGTTCTCGCAGGTCTTTTTCAGACCAACTCCGTGGGACCTGGCCCACAAACATCTTGATGGCATCTATGTCTGGTTGGTCAGGATGATCCAGTGTGCCATTCATTTTCTTTGAGCTGCATGAGTTAATGAGAAGCATGTGATAAATATCCTCCTTAGGTGTGTCCCATTTAATCATTTCCCCAGCATACAAAGCAACTATAGAACACCAATGTTGTTTAAAGTGCAACTTCCTGATCTATTTGTGTAGGAAAATCAGAACCCATTTGTCTTCTGAAAACCAGGACTTGGAGAAGAACTTGTATGACAACCAACTGCCTTTTTTCAGTTGTATCTCTTCTTGAAAACCTTTGAACCTTTGAAAATGGAAGCTTAGAGGACTAAACAAACATTCACTGAAAATGATGCAGATTTGGTAACACCTGAGACAGTGGTGTACTTATCTAACTAACTAAAGAAAATACAATCATTCTCTAAGAGTGAATATATGGCCCACGGTAAGTAAAATGGAGATAAATTAGGGCCACAAAGAAATAAAAAATACACAGCATGCTCAGTTGAAAATAAAGTTTACAAACCTCCCCAAGATTGCAAAAAAAAAAAAACCCCCCCAAAAAAAACCTAACAGTGTGCTTTAGATAAAGAAGAAAAACAGAAAATATGGTGGGTGAAGAACTGAATGCTCTGCACAAAGAGAATGACTACTGAACTGAAACTCCCTCACGCAGAACTGGAGTGGGAAATTTCTCAGTTTATCACTCCATCTTTCTGCAATTTCTTATAGGCCTCAATAATAATAATAATAATAATAATAATAATAATAACTTTATTTATATCCTGCCACCATCTCCCAAAAGGGATTTGGGGAGGCTAACTTGTGTTATTTGTATTTAAATTAGTTTCATAAGGTAAGGAAAATCTAATAATTTATTTAACATTGAAAAAAAGGTCTGGAAAACAGTAACCTTGTTTCATTTCACTAACCAACTGGATTCAATCTACAATATTGTAAATGCATAGCAGATGAATATGTATAATGAAAATTTGACTGGTTAAGAAAAATAAGGTCAGCTGACTGGGCATAATCAACAATCAAATAATAGTTTTATTCATTGGTTTCAATAAACGAACAGGAAACAGCTTCAACAAGTTTGATATTCATGCTGATAACAAAAGCTAGTTAGTTAGCAGTGAGTTGGGTGCAGACATGCTCTCTGTGGGTAGAAGTGACCTCCTGTTCAAAGAGGAACCGGAATCTAACAGAAGTTTCTCACTGAAGGAAGAGAATTAGCTATTTTGCAGATTCTTCTTCCTTCCCACACCCCTAAGCTGCTCCAGTGCATTCCAAACTTCTGGATTGGTTTTTCAAAGGCCACAGAGATGATAGTGGCAAAAGTCACTATCCTATCATGCTTTTGTAGACTCACATCAGGTCTGAATAAATAAGTAAATAAATAGTTTACAGCATGAATGATTCAATAAACACTTAGGCTTTAACCCCAGAAAACCAGAGTCAAGCTTCAGTTGTATAATTAAAAATCCCAGTACCCATAATGGCATTTCTAATGTAATGGAACACCTGATCATAGTCAAATAATAAGTACTCAACTAACCAGCAAATCAAATCTATGGATATTCACTGAACTTTTGGGGGAAGGGGAGGAGATACTATTCAGAATGTAAAAACATAGACATCTAGGTCCTTCCACTTTGTCAAAATCTGTAAACACACTCATTGCATTCTATTAAGAAGTTTCTCCCAACCAACTTATTGTTTAGATCAGAATTCCTCCAATGTGGAATCCTGCAGATGTTTCAGAATGCAACTTCCAGCAATCCCAACCACCATGGTTAATAACGAAAATGATAAGAAAATTAGTGCTGACAACACCATATTAGGCAATGTTAATTTAGAATTTTGTCTAAGGTCTTAAATATGAACATCTGGACTGTCATGGTGGCCTATCAAAGCTTTCGTCTTGGCTGCCAATCTAAGTTTATATGTTAACCCAACAATGTTCACACAGAGCACATCTATATAGTTTCTTTTAGAAGCAGCAAAGAGGATGGGAGGGTGGATGGTGGAGAAAGGAGCAATATTTTTATTTACAGCAGTGTGGTGGACATTATTCATCCTTCCCTTATAAAATACAAAATAAAAAATGGAAGTGTTATATTGATGAGCAAATGATTTGTACTGTACTGTTGCCATCATTTTACTTACTGTGAATTATCTTGAAAGCAAACTTTACAGAAAAATTATATGCAATTATGCAACAAATTCCAGTAAAACTACCAATAATTTTTAATGTTCTGAAAACCAAACTTGCTCCCACCAGAGTACTATTGTTCATACTTGGTCCCAGGACACATGAATATTTCAATGAGGAAGTTACCTTTCAACTCTAGTCCTTTCCTATATGGCTATTTCCAGTGGACAACATGATTGCCAATTCATAAACTCATTCCACATAACGGAAAATCATTTTGAAAAGGAATAATTGGCAGCTGCATTGGCTTTACTCCCATGAGATCTTGAAAGATGAGATCTTGATGGTTTAGATAGTCAGAATGGAAAGTAGCTTATCTCACCAAACTAATCTGAATTCCACTGAAAATGACTTACACTTACATTATGGTGAACTCTTTGGGAGTGTATTTGCTTTCAAGCTGCCTGTTGATTAATAGTGATCCCATCCATTTTTAATAGAATTTCCTTAGGCAAAGAATACTCAGCGGTGATTTTGCCAGTTCCTTTCTCTGAAATATAGCCTACAGTCCCTGTATTCATTGACAGTCTCTCACTCAAGTACTGTCCAGGCTCACCCTGCTTAGCTTCCAAGATCAGAGATTTTGTGCCTTTAGATCAGGAGTCCCCAAACTAAGACCTTTGAGTCAGATATGGCCTTCCATTTACCCAGCCCTCACCCTAAACTTTAGACTTAGGGTCACCCTAAGACTGAAATTGCTTAAAGGCACACCACCACAATCCTAATTAACTTGACTATCTCATTGGCCACTGAAATACTGGTAAGTTTAAGTTGGTTAAAATGGCTTTTTATTTTAAATATTGTATTGTTCTGTCATTTTTTTTGCACTACAAATAAGCTATGTACAGTGTGCATATAGTTTTTTCCAAACTATATTCTGCCCCCCCCCCCCCAAACAGTCTGGGGGGACCATGAACCAGCATTCTGCTTTAAAAGTTTGAGGACCCCTGCTTTAGAGTATTATTGTGAACATATAGTGAAAAAGATGTCATTCATCTTTTGATTCAAGAAAGAATTGTACTTTGAGATTTTCTGTCTTTCACAATTAATACATTGATCAGATGTGTCCCAGATATGTTGGATTACAATCTCATGCCCACAGCATTTAGCATCCCTAAGTAAACAACATTTCCCTTAATTTGATACAATTCTGTATCAAATTACAGAACCATTTGGATAGGTAGCTGTTTGTGCTATTCACATCAAAAAAATATTTAAAAATGGATCTGCATAGTCAGTCAATTCTTATTACTCACATTTAAATGCTAAACAAGAGAAACTTTATGTGTTACATTGAACTCATGAAGCTCTAAGATAATTATATTTTACATAAATCACAATGGGATTATTCTAGAGGAAAATGAAATATATATTTAATGCGTTCCTCACACTTACCTGAAAACCAGTTCATTTAGATACGGTTAATTCCACAACAATAAATAATCCATGTCTGAAATACGCGTTTATATATTTAGGCACCAGCTACAATAAATTTTGGGCAATAATTTTTCCTCTTGTGTTTAAACTATCTTACGGTATCATCTCATAGACAGCATTAATTAATTAATTTAATAAGTGAACCTCCCTCTCTGACTTGCTACAAATGCAATACCATAAAACTTTACAAGTATCTGGGAAACTCCTTTCTAGATTGCACAAACATGCAAATACCATAACTAGTGTAGTGTAGCTCTGAAACCAGTTCACTGTGGAACAGAGTTTGAGAGTGAATACAAAACATTTGCTACTATATCTGAGGGAGATCATATTCATAAAAAAATAAACTCTAAGCATCTTTCAGGATCTCTTTTACAAGTAAACTTTAGGGTTGAACATGCCTGTTTCAGTTATTTCCTTAATACATAACATTAAAGAACCCCCATCACCCCATAATCAAAATCAAAAGAACACATTCAAATCAGTATCAGTGTAGATTAGCTATGAAAACAAAATACTTACATAGGGCTGGCATTCAAGGAGCAATGATCCACCATCATTTCTGGGAGGAATTCCAACTTAAAAGCAGCCATCACTTCTCTGCTTACCACAAACCACTAATGCTAGATCACTGTCCTGTCGAACCAATTGAACACCACCACTTAAGTTCAGCAGGTCTTAACACACTGATCCACACAAAAGACACTCAAACCACAAGAACACAAGCTTGGGGAGACCAGCAATAGACACCACAAAAACAGGCTGGACTGGGAAAGGAACATGGGGACCAGGATTAAAAAGGGGATGTGACCATGTGAAGAGAAACTCAGCTCAGTACACAATGAAAATGCTGATGCACTGGGCTTGTTTTGTGCAATTTTCCCTGGCGAAGCAGTACTGTGTGCACTGTCAGATAAACAGTGTCAGATCCATGAAGATAGTTGTGTGCAACAGAGCAGAAGAAACACAAACTAGCTTCATGGCTTCTAATCAAGTTTTCTATTAAAAACGGGGTACATAGAGCCTCAAATATTCCTTTAGGTAGAATATTTTTGATAAACAAGGATCTTATGATAATTGAGATGCTGATTTAGAACAACTTGATTGGAACTGTACAAGATTAATAAACACAGAATAAGCTAGTTGGAACTGTACAAAAAATTTAAACTTTGGATGAAATCTGCCTTTTGCACCTGTGCAAGACTTCAACCTTAGAAGATTTTTCTTAAGTCTGGGAACTGCATATGTAGCACAGAGGCACATCGAAGCTGAATATGTGTTGTTCATGCCTCCCAAATTTACTTATGAAAGAAACAGTATCATTCTAACGATTGCACTGTTGAACAAATCTGTACAAATTAACCTTTCTGCATCTACCAGAGTGCTCACAAAATTATTTTCCCCCTCCATCAGGTAGCAACTACTGAAGAAATCCTTCTTACGTGTATTTTAAAACTAAAGAGAAGTGTGACAATTTTTCAAGAAGTAAAAAGATACAGATGTATTTAACAGAAAAGGCTTACGAGTAACTTAGACATGGATGCCTACTTTAACCTTTCTGACTTTCCTATGCCTCTGAAAGCGGTGGGAAATTTATTCTATTAGAATACAAATCACTACAAGATAGTTTTAAAACATTGAATGGTTAAGTTATTTTTATCTTATAAGCTGATTATTATCTTCAAGCTACTGACAATACTACCCAACACACATTTTGGTGCCTCAAATGTTACATCTGTTTCTGGGTATATTTCATCTGCCGATTTCAAAAATGGCACCAGTTTTCCCTTATTAACTCTAGTTTTGAGAAACATGGCATATATGCCATATACCAGTCTTTATCTGCTCACTCATAAAAATCATGATAACCATATCTAAGAAACTAGAACTGATGCAGTCTATACAAATGCATTTTTTTGAACCAGTACCCCAAATAACCCTAGGAACAGGCCTAAAAACCAAGACACCAAGATTTATTTTTGTTGGGCTGTGTAATTTTTATTATTCCTTCAAAGCACATATGTATCGCCTCTTTAGAACACACTGATTTCTTTTAATTGAAGCTTGCTTGTTTGCCTATTAGCGTTTTATACTTTTAGTTTCTTCAATTTGATCAATAATATGATGTTTGCTGTTTTATCAAAAAATCTGGAGAGAAATGTACTCACAAATTATTTTTTCAGTGACCTATTTGACTTTAACATCATAAAATCTAAGGTGTGAGCACCCTGTAGATATCCTAATCCTATTAGCCCTCCTAATATGGCCGATCATCATATAGAAGGTCACAAGGTGCTGTTTCCTGCATTGTGTATGAGATGAGAGCAAAGTACATGGTGCAGAGACTATGGAAAGTGATAAAAGACTTTTCTAGAATCCAAGGTCCTTCAATGCGATGTGATAGTATCTACCAACATAAATGGCTTTAAAGGAACTAAAACAAATTCATAAAGAATAAAAGAATTATTAGTTGTCATGAAAACAACAAGAATCTTCAGAATCAGAGGCAATATCTCTCTGAATGATGTGTCGCTGGGAAACAAGAGAAGGAGACAGCTATTATTTATATGATATGCTAGTGGGCTTCAGACAGGTACATGATATCCAAATATTCAAAATGTTTGGAATGTCTTTTGTATTTTTTTTATTCTAAAATCTGTCTATACACAATGACATATTTTGGAGATGGAATCCAAGTCTAAACACAAAATTCATTTATGTTTCAGACCCCGAAAGCAATTTTGTAGAAAGCAATTTTGTACACAAAATTTTAAAATAATTTTGAGCATGAAACATGGTTTGTGCATACCATCAGAAAGTAAAGTTATCACTATCTCAGACACCCATGTGAACACTTTTGGGTTTGTTTGTTTTTTAGTATTTCAGGATGTTCAACCTGTATTAGATTGGGAATTTTGTACCCTTAATGAAATTAAACCTATGTATAACTTTCAAATTAATATACTCTGGTGAAGGAGTGTTTTGTGAAATTAAAGTGCCACTTTTCTCAAGTAACAGTGTCAATATTCAGAATTAATCTCAAAGATCCAAATATAAGTACAACAGGTAAGCAAAAAAGTTGAAAGCCACATTAGAAAGTAATCTGAGAAGCTTGTCTGAAATTCACACTGATTTCCTTTTTCTCTCACACATTCCCACTTTTCTACAAAATAATATGGGCTAAATGATATGCTGATGCCTATGTCATTCTTAAACTGGAAAAACATGCATTATCCACACAAATTAGAAACACTTACATTTTTGACATTTCTAGAAACAACTGATGACTTAATGCCCCCTTTCTACCCTCTGAGTGTTGCAATATATGGTATTCATGCATATGTTGCTTGCCAGCTACTAAATTGGTAAGACGAGTTAAACTATGTAGAGAGGGCAAAACTTTACCCAGTAGTCTTCGCAGTGTAGAAGGGGTCTGTCTACATGAGATAATGGCTTCTCGATTTAGCAGATACCAAGTTACCATTCAAGAACAGGAATAAAGTTTTTAGTGTAAACAGTTGTCTAAAAGGTTTGGGCAGATCTGCACCATGTCAATGCAATGCACACTAAAAATGCTCAAATGATAGTAGCTTATGGGCCACTTCTCAACTCTACAGCAATTTTGCCAGGGGCATAGCAATCCTATCAAATTTCAAGTTTAGCAAATGGGTAACAAAATAGCAGATGAGAATCAAGTAAAGTATGCAGTGATTCCCCACCTGGAGCCAAAAGAAAAGAAAAACACATTTCACATATTTTGGTTGGATGTGAGTCAGCTGTATTTATCCAGAGAAGAAATCTCTATAAATACATTCTTATATAAAGGATCAACAATGTATGATATTCTCCTCACAAGATATGAGGGCCAATTGTCAAGATGTTTTAAATGTCTCCACAAATTTACAGAAAATAGATCCATCAAGAAAACAGATCCTCAATTAGTTATAATAGTTAAACAACTTTTCCATGATCAAGGGGAAAAAAACATCAATGCTAAATGACAGAGCCTAAATATACAAGAAGAAAGCTGTTTCCTCCATGCCTTGCTTGAAATTTTCCCAAGAGAAATGTGTTCATATATTGGTGGGAAAAGAAAGTTGTAGTGGATGGCAGCACAATTCCTAAATGTGGTGAAAATGAGGTTCAAGACAGGGGAAATCCAGGTACTGAAAACCCACTCACCTGTGAAACGTACTGGGAACTCTGAGGAAGTCATTAAGTGGTCTAATCTGCTTACAATAAGCCAGAACCCTGGCTAAATGGAATAAATAACTGCACTGCTGGTTTATGTTACCTAATCCCTTCACTCAACAACTGCTTCTGTAAAACAGTCACCCTCTCACATAACTACCCATGGTTTGCTCAAATAAGCTCAGGTGGACAAAAGAGAAGAAATTAAATTCAAATTCACACATAAAATTGCAAAGTATATGAAATGAGACAGATCTTGGAAGAGTGAACTTCCAGTTCACTCTTTTAACAAGATGACAACAAACATCAATGAGTTAAAACGGGAACATTGGAAAGTACTTTATGCTATGTCAAACTACCACTAGTCCATCTGGCATTGCATTATCAGCCATGAGTGCAACAATTATCCAAGATTTCAGGTGTGATTTTCCTATCTTTAACTTGGGACTGAATCAGTGACCTTCTACATGCAAAGTCTGTCCTCTGTAATTGAACAATGTCCCTTTTTCTTAAGTTTAGATAGCTTCGACTAACTGGCTGAGACATTCTGTTTTCTTGGAGGAAAAACAAACAGATCGAGCGGACATTTAGATAACAAGCCTAAATCCAATGATATAGCGAGAGTATGACATCAGTGTGACACAGACACATATACATAGAGCCCTTAATGCCCCACCCCAACAGCTTCAGAGAGTTTCCTTAGCAGGTTTATGAGTACAGTGCACTAGGGAGCGAAATCACCACCTTCTGATTCGATTGACAGTGAATGCCTCCTCCTTTTATTCTGATCATTGATACACAAAGTTAAACTGATAATCTTGTTAACTATTAGCAAGATTCCACAACTCAGATAAGAATTTATACCCTTATTGGGCTAACTCACATGTTCCACATCACTATCCAGGCTATTAACACATCCAGATGTCTTAGACACACTTGGGGGGGGGGGGGGGGGATGTTAAAGTTATGGTATCTGTATGGTCTGAGTTTCAAAATAAAATATGGGAGTACCAGGTGCGCAAACTGCTTCTTCTTCACTTTAACAGTCTGATTACAAAGCTCTCATGATTACAATATTTAATTTACTCTCCTCTCAACCTGCTTTTTTTCAACTTCTTTTCTGATGAATAAATAAAAGGATCTCAAAAGCGCATATATTGTTGTTATAAAATTTGGTGAAGTTGAGTTTGTCAAATAATTTAAGATAAATATATTTCTTCTTACACATAGACAAGTTGATATAGAATATAGTATGTGGTTGAGTAACAGCACAACATTAAAATGACGTTTCACAGGTAATAAAATAAGACAAGTTGTTACTATCTGACAGCTTTAGGAATGTTTAGTGCCAGTTGCAAGGACAAAGGCACACAGACTCCACAGCACCGACCCCCCCCCCCAGTGTAATAAGTCTGTGCTCACAGTAGCAACCAAATAATTATAAT